TTTTTTTTTTTTTTTGTTTTTTTGTTTTTTTGTTTTTTTGTTTTTTTAGATGTTGTTTATCTATCATTCGGCCAGACGGAAGGAAGCGTGGTGGTATATGTTTATTGTAACATCTATTCTGACTTGCCGGTGGAATAGGAACCGGACTGTCGCTCCCCAGAATGGAAAGGAGCCAGGACCATAAGGCCCTGTTTTTTATTTAAAAAAAAAGAAAAAAAGAAAAAAAAGAAAAAAAAAAAAAGATGTTGTTTATCTAAGTTGATCAAGATTCAGGAGGAAGGGGGGGCGGGGAGGGCAAAGGTGGGAGGGGCACAGAGGGACTGAGAGGCGGGGKGGAAAAAAAAGGAGGTAGCCACCATGACTCTCCTTCATCTTGTCCCCGCCGGTTAGGTGAGTTGGGTGTTAGACCTGGTTGGCCGGGCTGAACATTCATTACCACCCTCTGACGACAGTGAAGAGCAAGGAATACTATTTCATCGACTTAGTCTGCAACTGCATATGAAGTTTATGAACCAAAATTGTCACAGAGGCATATAGGAGAAAAGCAAGAAAAGCGAAAGTAGTCAGCGCAAGACATGTGCCACTCACCCAGTGAGTCCAATCTCGCGACAGTGGTTCCGAAAATCCTGTGTAGAGACCCGATTCTGCCCAGATGCTGTTACCGACAGATCTATCGACATGGAAGCCTCGTCCCTCTGTTGTCGTCTTTCCTCCTTCTGACTCTGCTCTCCACATGGATTATTTGGGTTGTCGTCGTCGCCGTCTTCGTCTTCGTCGTCGTCGCCGTGTTCGTCTTCAGTGGGGGCCATTATCCCTTGCCAATCCCACCCACTGTGGATGACAATCAAGGCAGCCACTGATTCCCCCATTCTTTCGTTCGGTATTCCCGTGACCGCTGCAGCCAGCACAGCAGGATGCTTGCTCAGAGTGAGCTCGACCTAGGAAGAGCGGAGAGATGGCACAATATGTCAGGCCAATCACATCACAGCCACACGCAACGTGAACCGTAGTCCAGATTTTGTTGTTGTTGTTGGTTTCGTGAGGGCGACTGTGCGACTCACCGAATGACAACCAATGCACCTACTGATTCCCCCATTCTTTTTTTTTTTCTTTTTCGATCGGAATTGCCATCACCGCTGCAGCCAGCACAGCAGGATGCTTGCTGTCGAGCTAGCTCAACCTAGAAAAGCCGCGGGATGGCACAATACGTCAGTCCGATCTCTGTCACACTCCATGTGAACCGTCGTCCAGATTCTTTTTTGTTGGTTTATTGAAGGTGACCGTGCAAGTCACCGAATGACTTGTCCACCATAGTGGTGCCTGTGCAAGTAACCAAATGACGTGCCCACCTTTTTGGACTATATTGTGTAGCATTTAATCCTTCAGTTAGGTCTCAGTTTGAGGAAAGTGCATACATCCAAAACGTGGTTGTGGCTCATGCCCTTTGAGGAAACCTTGGCTTTGAACAATGAAGTCTTTTGATGTACTTAGCAGTATCTGCAAAGACCACTCAAATGCTTACGCGCGAAAGTGCCTTCCTTCGTGGGATTCAGACGCGAAGCGTCTGCTCGTCGAGCCGTAAGGTTGCCACTGCATACGTTGGAAGATGTTGTGTCACTGAATGGATTGTAGGGGGTTGCGCCAGGGAGAAATAATGAAAGTGGTAGGGTGGAAGGGGAGTCTAATAACTTAATAAGGAATAAGGACGTCTATGAACTATAGACCATCTGGATAACCACATCGCTGAGACTATACTGAAGCTGGCTGTCCTATGTCTAGCATCCAACCTCTACAACAACCTGGGCTTTTTTTCTTTTTTTCTTTTTCCCTAAGGATGTTTTTTTACCTTTTTCTCCTATAGACTTGATAGTCCTTTGTGAAGTTGATGCCTTGGAACACTCTCTGATCCATGTTTAATTGTTTAATCCATTATTATTAATTTATTAATTTATTAATTTTATTATCTTTAATACATGCCAGAACATCCTTTCTTTGGGAGATTTAGCTTGTAGCCTTGTACGTCCTTTCTACTGTGATGCTTCGTTGGTTGAAAAAAAAAAGAGAGATCCGCAAAAGGATCTCACGAGTATCAGTGCCCTGTGCCAGTCCCAGTTCCAAGGTTCCGAGTCACAGGAACCATGAGTCCCAGTCCCAGTCACAGTCCGGTAGGTAGGTAATTTCAGCCCAGACCATCACTCCGGTAGGCTGTGGGCCCAGTACCGTCCAGTCCGTCGAGTCTGTACACTCCACTCCACTCCACTCCACTCCACTCCAGTCCGGTCAGTGGGACAAGTCCCGAGAAAGTCAGTGTCAGTGAACATCTGGAGGCATCAAATGCTGACGGGGTGCAACAAGTTAGGGTACCAAATCTAGAAAGTCCAAGGTGGGGCAACTGAAGTGCCGAATACAAGAGTGTTATGTACTCGATTGAGCTTCAGTCCACAACGATTCACACGTTCCCATTCACGAATGCAATTGAAGAGTAGGCTTGAAGGAGGCAAATCCACACAAAACCGGAGAGAAGATATGCACAGCGAAAGCTCAAAATACACAGAGAAATTGAGAGAATAGAAAAAAAACGAACTTCAATTCTCCAATCCCCCGTCTTCGTCCAATCAATCCGGAGTACTTTCCCCCTCGCCACCTCACAGCGGAAGCTCAAAATACACAGAGAATAGAAAAAAAAACGAATTTCAATTCTCCAATCCCCCGTCCTCGTCCAATCAATTGGGAGTACTTTCTCCAAGAATCACAACCGCGTTGTCAACAACCCCGAACAACCAAAAACGAGTGTTCAACGAAGTATCCAGGAGCCTTCTTCTTCCCCCTCGCCACCTCATACGCCTGGCTATGGCTGCCGTAGCAGCAGTAACCCCACAGCTGTCACAACGTGCCCATCTGAACCAGCAAGCCCAATGATCGCAGCGCCAGCTCAGCGCCCGCACGGAAGTGCAGTGCTGGAAGTCCTGATGAAGAAGGAGACGACCGATCCAGCACTTCGAAGAAGACGAAGTTCCTCGTGAGGAGGAACAGCAGATATGGGCTGCCAACTTGTGCCAAGTGGAAATTGGCAGCGCCCAAACCCAACAACACAATTCTGTGGAAGCTCTCATGCAGAGCTTCAAAATAGCAGCAGTGCGATCTTCAACTTCGTTTCCCAACCCCAGCTATGGCTGGGCTTCGAGGCAGAGGATGACCTCGCCCAAAATAGAGCAGCAGCGATCCAACAACGGACGGGCAGAGATTCTCCAGCCAATGCAAACGTCAAAAGACCCGGACCCAATTTCCTGCCCGCTACTTCTACCCTCTGCCTAGACCTACGGCGGACTCCAAAGGCAACAACCCAAGACTCATCCGTATCTAGATGGAAACAGGGGGAAAAGTTGACCTAGAGCTATGACAAGGCAGAAGGAAAAGGCCGACTACCAAACAGAGACTACTAGTGACAGACTCAGGGATCACGTCCCATAGGGCGCAGCACTTACAAACAAAACACACAAGTTACAGGTCACGGGATCAAGTCCCACAAGGCTCAAAACCAGAAAACAAACTACAAAGCCAAACACTTAGTGTACAGCCCCACTGGGAAACTGCGATTTATTGCAAAGCCAAACACTTAGTGTACAGCCCCACCGGGAAACTGCGATTTATTGCAAGAGGCCAACGGCAGTGGGCGTCACCATCCTTTCCACTAGTGTGTGCTGCAGAAGGGCTGCTGTGTTAAAAACTTTGCGTGGGGCTGGAGTGAGGAAGTCAAGCTAGCTGTAGTCGACGAGCGCCAGGCGCCATAGCTGTAGTGGAGTGAGAAAGAGAGTGAGGAAGTTGCCTTCTGCCCTCCATCCCCTTATGGTTTGAAATATATATGTATACGTATGTATATGTGCAAGTGTGCCTTTTGGCGGCAGATGGGTGTGTGGGCACTTGGAGCTGAACCACACAAACGTGGCCAACCTTGCATTTTCTATTATATTGCCTATCTATACTTTTTCGTTATGGATGGCTTGTGATGATTTGTGAAGGGAATGAGAGAGAGAATCTCGGGTCTTTAAAAACAACACACACACACACACACACACACACACACACACACACACA